AAAGTTGTTTAAATAATGGACAGATATGGTTGCAGGCGGGAGTTTGCTTAATATGGCCTTTGGACGATTCTAGATAATCGTTTTTACAATGAAATTTTTTAGCCTCAACGGTCATCTCAATAAAATGACGAATTGAAATCAAAAAGGCGCGTCAACGCTCTGTATAGATGAACTAAGTTTTACCCTGAAAATGTTCAACTACCATTTTGGTTCACTGTTCATCTATAATAATGATTAGAATTCGCGAAAAGAATCTTGATTTTCTTTAATAATTCACGGTTGTTTAAGCTGCTAAGATTTCCACAAATAAAAAGTAGTATCTAAATTATGAATAAGATAGAGGATTGCGGTCATGCGACTCATTAATTTATCAATTAATGATGCATATAATATGATTATCGACCGTGCCTGTGAGGCAGAACCATAGGTGCGGCAAATTCATGGACCATAATAATGGAATATAGTTTCTGATGGGATGTGTGGTGCGTTTTTAGATGTCAACTGTAGCCTCAAAGCCTTTTAGGCGAAATCATAAGAAGATTAATGTGTTAATTAATCTATATTTTGAGTCAGCTTGTTGAAGGTTTTTGCTGGGCCATGCAGAGCGTGACGAGCCGACGTTTACTCGAGACAATGACCAGGGTTTTTCTGGAGCTCGACTGACTGTCCATAAATGGAGCAGAAAAGTTAAGGGGACTGTCGACTGACTGTCCATAAATTGAGTAGAAAAGTTAGGGCGAATGTAGCTGAGGTGACTCTCGTCTTCCTAAAGAAAGAGAAAAGTTAGTTTGTGACGGTGAGGCTGTGATGACCACCACTCGCGGTGATGGGGTCTAACGCGGCCTGTCATTAGGACCAAATCTCCTGCACGAGTTCTGGGCCTTCTCATGATTGTCTTGGAAATCTTAGGCTTTCCTTTAGTCGAGAATTGGGGAAATTTTTCAATTAACATGATTTTGCGGAGGATTAATGAGATCACAAACAACTATTAAGGAAATACTTGAGAAATCACGAATTCTTGAAATAAATCATTAGTATCTTCATCTGCATTGAGAAAGAAATCTCTTTTCTTGAGGTCATCAAACAATTATTTCAACATAAAAATGCGTTCCCTGACATTATTTGTGCTCTAGTACATTCATCTTATCCAACAATCAAGCCACTATAATATCAGAAACTTCAGCTTGTGTATCAAGACATTAAAACATTTGCGACATGACAAACAATGGCGCACAAGGAACTTTCCTCGGGTACTCATGATATTGCCGAGCGGAAAGCTTTTTTTACGGCGACTGTACCTCAACAACGATCGTTTGTCTCTGTTTTATGGAGTCTCTGGAAGCCATTCTGCCGCAACAGAGACTGACCATGAAATTGTTTACTATTGCAGTGCGGTGCTTTCGTCTCGTCTTGATCGCCGCTGAGCAACACGTGGCAAGTTATGGTCATTATAGGCACTCCAGCGATCGTTTCTTCACGGACATTTCTCGGCCAATCAGTCTTGAAGCTGCAGCAAACTACTCTTTTATAACCACGGCAGGAAGACATCATCGTAAGCAGCTTCGGTGGCATCACAAATTTGTGCAATTACCAGCGACTTACATATTCTGTATGGGAAAAGAAAACGCTTCTCCAGCATAAAAAAATGCATTATGATGTCGTCTTAAATTTGCATGTTTTTTCCGTAGAAATTTTTATCGTCTTTAGGTTTCTATGAAGTTTTTTTTTTTTTTCAGCGAAAATTTGTCGTATGCAAGATGTGCAAGTAATAGCGGTTATAGAAAAAGGCAATAGTATTGTTTTCGTAATTTTCCTAAGGTTGACTCAAAACTTGGCTTTTGTCTGTTACTACGCTGACTATTTGGGAGTAAATGTCACTGAACATTTTGAATGAGGCAACAGAAATCATTCAAAGACCTGAAATCCTTTGAAATTATTTTAAATATTATTTCAAGGTTTCATAATGACAAGCCAATACAATACCGGAGGAAAAGGTTCCTCCACACCATTTTTAATCACTGAAGAAATAGCAATCTATAACTGCACAATTAGCATTTTATCAATCTCTTCCTTGGAGATACCAGCAACCGTTCTCTAGACTATATCACTTTATGAGCTTGCAAATCAAAGCTGAAACTTCCAATATTAAAATAATTTGTCGTGAGCTGTTGTTCCGCCCACGACGACGCGGCGAATACGTCAGGCTGTCGTATGCGGCGTAGCGTACGGGCTGATGACGGGCTGGCGATGAACTGCTACCTGCGCTGCAGGCACTGCGCAAATGCTGATAAAATGCGTGCTGAATGTGGTCTACTGAACTTGTGCTGAATTTTAGCTGAGGAAGTGCTGGGATCTGCATTCACAATTAAAGACGAACAAGCGGCTGATCAACATTCACTCATGTCAATCGGTTCACTCATGTCAACCAAATAGGAAGGCAACTACACTCATTAATATCCCAACGCAAATGTACACACATAGGACCATACTTTCCAACCCTCATCACCCACAACAGCACAACCCCACCTGACAGAGTCCTACACAACAACAAAGCATTTCACAACATACACCTACAACCCGGACCCATTACCCCGTCAGACCACATTCCCATAATAGCAACCATTTCTGCAAATCCCATACAAATACCCATCCGTCCTCGTAGATCCTTCCATAGAGCAAACTGGACACTATACAAACAAGCATTATCACAACACACAGTACCCGCACAACCTAATCCTACACTAGAAGAAATAGACAAGCACTTACAAAACTGGACAAACACATACTTAACGCCACCGATATCTCAATCCCCACCATAGACCCTCCACAGACACCTCCAAACTCAGACATGGCAGGACCTCATTACCACATTAGAAAGACAAACAGATCCCAAAAAATTCTGGTCATCCCTAAAACGCATGATAGGCTCCAACACTAAACAAGCTGTCCCATACCTCAAACACAACAACATACAACATGACACACCCGAACAAAAAGAACCCATCTTCCGCAAACACTGGCAGGATATATTCACTCAGGACGACACGGACAATGAAGACTTTGACACAGAACACATCCACACAGTACAGGACCAAGTCAGCAACAACCTACACCTAATTCACCCATACAACCATGGCGACCTCTCCCGACTCCACCCCACAGACTTCCCACCTATCACCATAAGAGAATTACAGCGTACACTAAAAACATTCAAACAGAAAGCACCAGGTCCCACAGGCATCACAACCCTCCAACTCAAACACCTATCCAAAAACATGATCCAATATATACTATACATATTCAACCACGCCATTTCAGCCGGTTATTTCCCAGACTCACTAAAACACGCAATCATGATCTTCCTCCCCAAACCCAACACCTCACAACACCAAGTCCAGAATTACAGGCCCATCTCACTATTAGACATTCACGGAAAACTCTTAGACAAAATACTCAACAATAGATTATACGAACACCTTTCCATTCACAATATACACAACACGAGACAACACGGTTTTAGGAAACACAGAGGGACACACACAGCACTGGCCACATTCCACGAAACACTAGCCATACAGTTAGCTCAAAGACACACCACTGACATAGTACTCCGCGATGTGACCAAAGCCTTTGACAAGGTTTGGCACACCGGACTCCAACACAAGATCATCCAACTCAACCTCCACCCGTCCTTCACCAAAACACTATCAGACTACCTCACAGACAGAACAGCGTATAGGTCCCCCAATACAACTTTACACAGGTGTCCCCCAAGGGGCTTGTCTCTCCCCTACACTATACAGCTTATACACCCACGACCTCCCACCACCACTACCCAACACAGACTACATAGCATTTGCAGATGACATAACACAAATAACCTCAGGACATTACCCACCCAACCACGCAGCAATACAAACACAACACGCCATACAACAGATCAATACATTTGAAAACAAATGGCTCATTAGGACAAACACAAACAAATTCAAAATTATACCCATCAATAGGCGAAACACTTCCGACATCTTCATAGACAACACCCACTATCCATACACTAATAGAGGAACAGTTTTAGGCTTAGATTTCACTACACACGGCTTCAGTTCTCAAGTTGCGAAAAGAAAAGCAATGGCCCTCACCAGTCTACACAAATTACACAGATTTTATAACCTCCCACCCAACATTAAACGCACTTTATACCTTTCCTTTGTTAGGTCATCTCTCATCTACCTCCCGATACCGCTACACACCCAATCAAGAGCAGCCATATCAAAACTGCAGACAGTACAAAACAAAGCCCTCCGATTTATCACAAACATACACTGGTCCGACTTCATATCCTCCCAAACACTACACGAACAATGCAACATCCCCACAATAAACACAGTCCTCCACCAACAAGCACGCAAAACCTGGTCCACCATCAAAACATACGATCCCCAACTCTTCAACCAACTGACATTTCCCCCACACGCCATAGCAAGGCAGCACCGGCTATTCCACAGTTCAAAAATACTTGCACTAGGTCCCCCACCTCCACCTCTCTACAAATAACTACATAGCGGACCATGCTGCACCACCTTCCCCAGCCCCAAATGCCCCCCAACCACATACAGCCAACCCAATTATGCACAATGCGCCTTTTCGTCTCCTACTGTTTTTCCATTTCTCCTTCTTTCTGGCCACTCTGCGCCACCTCTTGTTCTTTTCCACTCTTTCCTAGTGGCACCGCACACACAAAATCGGTTAGTTTCCACTCACTGCGTCCATAAATACGTAATATCGTAAAAATTTTTGCTTAATAATATCATCTCGCAGTGCATCTGTTTTGAGTCCAAACTATTATATAAGTAATATTAGCTTTCATTTATGGATATTCGGGCAAATATCACTTCTTTAAGTACAAAATCTCTGTTGCACAAGCACAGAGCAACAGGGCATCCACGGAAGTTTCAATGTATACACACGGCCTTGGGCCACCAAAGCAGTTGCGTGTGATGATATTAGCCCGCAGGATCAAGGGCAAGGCCACGCTAGGCCTCCAAATGAACCCACCTCAGCCCTTTATTGGACACTTAATGTCGGCGTGCGGTGGCTTGCACAACGAGTGTGATCCTCAAAACCTGGAAATTGTCCAGGTCTGCCCGCACGCTGCTCTGCTAACCCAGCGCTTCCCTCTCGCTGCCCTGCCGGCCCAGTGCTGCCCTCACGCTGCTCTGCCGGCCCAGTGCTGCCCTCACGCTGCTCTGCCAGCCCAGTGCTGCCCTCGCGCTGCTATGCCGTCCCAGCGCTGCACTGCCAGCCCAGTGCTGCCCTCACGCTGCTCTGCCGGACCAGTGCTGCCCTCACGCTGCTCTGCCGGCCCAGTGCTGCCCTCACGCTGCTCTGCCGTCCCAGTGCTGCCCTCTCGCTGCTATGCTGTCCCAGCGCTGCTCTGCCGGCCCAGCGCTGCTCTGCCGGCCCAGTGCTGCCCTCACGCTGCTCTGCCGGCCCAGTGCTGCCCTCACGCTGCTCTGCCGTCCCAGTGCTGCCCTCGCGCTGCTATGCCGTCCCAGCACTGCCCTCACGCTGCTCTGCCGGCCCAGCGCTGCCCTGCCGTCCCAGTGCTACCGTCGCGCAGCAATTCTGAGCTAATGCTACCCTCATGTAGTATGCGGACCTGCTGCTGCCCTCAAGCTGAGCAGCGGTGAGTGCGTAGTAGAGTATCTAGCGGTGAGTATCAAATTTAAAATGCTGCTTGCATTTTTGTCGGCTTACATACCGATGGAATTGAAGAACCATTTGGCAAATATTTATATTCATAAGCATTTGAAATATAAAGTTTAGGTACAGAAATTTGTCGTGCATGGCGCCCTACTGTTTTATGCGCCAGTTTCGACCTCTGACAAATATTGCGTACTCAGTCGGTAACTATCCATATAGATTTTACTCGTGTACATCGATGCGATTTGTTGTTTAGGAGTCAGCGTGTATATTCATTGTGTTCTATGCTGCAAGTTGTTGTTAATTCTGCCCCAAATTGTGAGTTGTGTTCCTGAAATAAAAACTTGCGCTGATCTCTCACTCGCCGTGACAACAAATTAATCCTGGAAATGATAACGCAATTTTACTCGTAATGTCTAATGTATCAGGCAGTAAGCGGATAGCTTAGTGTCGCTTGAGCTAATGGAGTGCGCAATTGAGAGATGCTCCACAAAATTCGAAATCCGGCAACGCGTTAATTTATTATGCAAATTAGTTTAAAATTTTAATGTTAATAATAAACTACCTTCCGAGCACGTAAACCCTCTGTCGACTGACGATAACTCCGTTCCCTAGATCTGTAGGTACGAATAGCATTGACGACAGTATATGTAGCTGTAGGCCTCTAATACTCAGATGTGTATGTAGGTACGATCGAATAGCATAGACGACGGTAAATGTAATTACCATAAAATTAAATTTCGATGTTACTTACTATGACAAAGCTTACGATTATTCATGTCCATCACTAATCCTAATTAATCCATATGTAGACTAGCGTTAGAATTCAAATAAAGGAAGAATATCATAGAATAATTTTAACATTCTATATTTTTCATTTCCAAAAGAAAGAGGAGAAAAATTTAGTAAAATGATTGCCTAAAAATGTGTTATAAATTCGTAATAAATGAAAAAAAACAGTTATTCTCAAATACAAGGGAAGAAATTTCTTGAAAATTGGATGAACTTGTGAAGTTGATATATAGGTCAAAGACTGATAACTATCATGATCACTGGAGAACAATAACCTTGGTCACTTACGCACGCATGTCGTCACTCACACCATCATTGCTGTGTGGCCTAAACCATATTTTTAATCTACTTCTACTTCCCAACAACTGTAATCGACAAAAAATCTGCCATCGATGCAAACGTCAAAATTTCTAACGAGCCTATACGAACCACGGCGATCTTTTGCCAGAGCGCATCGTGTTTATTTTAACGCGGACTTCTAACCATAAACACTATTTCCCCGACGAACTTACCAACATTACTAAGGAGTACAATAGTTAAGGAGTACAATAGTTTCATCTGATACTTTTATAAAATGTGGATACATCATGATTAGTAAAAGTTTCAGCTTTATTTAACATAATCATGTTCAGTATGATTTTATCATTTGTTCACATTCGTCCATTCCAATACATTTAGATTATATTTTAATAATAATCCAGTAGGTTTAGATGCAGAAACTCTCACCACGGTGAGCACTTAGAGCGTCAATTATCAAATCTATGAAGCTTTTCTGTCTCATTTTTGACACCAAATTTGTTATCCGTGAGCGCTTCTGCATTAATAATTGCTGGTACCGGTGACGTTTTTGTATATGTTATTCGAAGGTCTTCTCAGATTCAATACATTACATTACATTTTCAAATTAACTCTATTAATACGTTATATTTATGCAAGAGATGAGCATGATCTCTGTGTGGCTCTCGTAGCTTTTAGAATGCAGACCTCCTTAATTTCTATAGAGAGATATTCCATTGATACGACACATTTATGCCAGAAAAAAGCCTGATCTCATTTCATGCATACGTAACACATTCTTCAATGCATCGCGATGCAATTAATAAGTGTCATCCATACTTATTTATACGGAAACACGGCATTCGTTTCCTTAAAATGTTTGCGACTCCCGGAGCGACGGCAAGACGATCCGTAGCGATCTGTCGAGCGATGAGAAGAGGATCCCTCTTGAGGGACTCCAAATCGAGGAGATCCATTCCAGGAGCGGCGTGGCGATCAGCAGCACTTGGAAATATGGCTGGAATTTCTCGACTAGTTCGTTCATATGTGCGCTCACTTCCAGGAGCGGCGCGGCGATCAGCAGCACTTGGAAATATGACTGGAATTTCTCGACTAGTTCGTTCATATGTGCGCTCACTTCCAGGAGCGGCGCGGCGATCAACAGCACTTGGAAATATGACTGGAATTTCTCGACTAGTTCGTCCATATGTGCGACCTGCTGGGCTGCGGCCTCACCGAATATATGTATATGCTGTAACATTGTGTTGAAGATTGTGGATTGGGCTTCGACGGAAGATTCTTGCTCGGCCAACGATGATACGCCTCCTAAATTCAACATTAACACCTTAGAATTTATAAAATAGTAATAGTGTTGAGTTCTGGCTAGTATTTTACAGGCACTATAGACGGCACGGATGACGAAACGTAATCATTCAACCAGAAAATTTAAAAATTCCATCTAGGTATTAAAATTTATAACATTTCGGGAATGATAAATAAATGAATAAAACGTCATATATATTTTGAAATGATAAATTTATATCACTTGTTTGCTTAAATCGCAAATTAACTAAGAATTGTGCTCTCAATGTAATAATTTGTGACTTCTGATTTGTGATTCTAGATTCTACGAACTGACGATGGAGCTGGTCTCCGAAACGTTTTCTATAAAGATATGAATTTTTGTGGACTTTTCTTTGCTTTTAAATTCTTTTTTAAATGATATTTTGTACGCTTGAAGATATGGTACAATTTGGTAACCTCTCAAAATAAATATTTTTTTCGCATGCAGTTTATAACAAAGCCTGTACTCAGACCAAAATTTAACAAAATTAAAATAGATAACTCATAGGATATTATACAAGATTTGATCGCCTTTGGAGTGGCCGTAGCAACTAAAGTCCTGCTTTCTTTCACTACAAGTCCACCTCGCAATTTATCGCTTCTTTTAAATTGCACGAAATGCTAAATTCAACAAGTCAAACCTACGCGGCGCAAAATATAGAACACTCAATTAGGCAGAGACTTGAAAAACTTTGAATATTATACACAATCGTTTAATAATTTCTAGCTTCGTCGCGAGTAGCTTGTCAATATTGCATTATTCCATTGATGAACACTATATTCATTCAATTTTGATTGTTTACCACAGCAATATGACTTCCTACACACTCCGAGGTACACAATCGAGCGGATGCTCCCACGTACGTCACACACCACTAGTCACGAGCGCCGTTCTACGATCTCTCAGCTTCACGCTTGCCCCCGATAGAGCAATTTACGTCTAACTTCTGCAATTTCAATCAGTCCTAGGCTTCGAATTTTCGGCTAACGTTCAATGTCGGCTATGCTTCTATGTCGGTGGAGGCTCAAGTTAGAGGCGCTGGATGAACGATAATTTTGAGCTAACAGTGCGGAAAAACGCATTTCGCACAGCACAATAAAGATCATTTTATGACAGGTCGAATTTTTATTGACTGAAAGTTGAACTATAACTAAATAAAGAATACGCAAGTGAACGAAAATATGGCGAATAAGAATGCTAAATACTTTATATTTAGGATTGATCCAGCATTGTGAACGGTATACACTCTTTCTGCAACTAGATAGGATGTCGTACGAAGTAAAAGTGATGTAATGAGGGCCTAGCAGACCTTGGCATTTCTCCCAATGCTCTCCGCACAAGCGGAAGCTGCAGACGTTTTTACTGCAGCCCTAGCCGATATTTTTAGTGCTACCGACGCAAGAATAGTTTTCTATTTTTCGGAACACGATACCTGGGAGCGGCCAGGGAGCCTGAGCCTCCGCATATATAGTGAGTTGGCGATGTGAACTCCAGAATTGCTGAAAAACGGCGGAAGGCTTTAGATGAATTCGTATAATTGTTCAACTTTCGTGCGATTTGTACATTTCGTGCTCAAAAGTTTCGCTTGGGGCAATTTTATATCAACCGAGTAAACTCTATATAATTTGGCAGGGAAAAGCAGGAAAGCGATGGTTGGTGGAGTGAGTGAGGACATTAAACTTGATTTTTTCGAAACGGATGAACCAAACTTGGGGAGAATTAAAGTGTGATAATTGCAAGACAATATAATCGACCAAGAATCCTTTGAATACATTCCTGCATCTTACAATGAAGATATCATCAACTCGGAAGATCCAACTCACTGCATGAGCCCATCTTGAAGGAATCTTAAGGAATGAGAAACTACTGAAGTTTAATGGTTGAACGTAAGTTCTAATGTATGCTTTTACAATGTCTTCCAAGCTGTTCCCACTTTTACAGTTAATTGTTAAGACTCAAACGCGCATTGGCGACATCGCCAAGGCATACGCAACTTTAAAGACCCCCTTTTTATGAGCCCTTGGAAGCTTGTTCGACAACACCACAACACGTTTGGCCTTTCGATATTGGGGGACAAAATTTCAGTCTCTCTTTTCCCTAATGGCGGGCCAAATTGAAAACACAACGACCCTTAATGTCGTGTTGTTCGCTGCAGCGCACCTGAAATGAGAGTTTCCTTGGATTGCGCAAAAGTGTAAATAATTCCAAGTGCATGGGAGATTACATTGAAATTTTCTGTAAGAAACTCAATGTTGTCGTTGCTGCGCATTCACGGGCGCCACTGACCCTTGCTCTGATGTTTTCTTGTTTTTTTTTGAGGTGGTATATGTGCCATATTCAATGCAACTCGAACAAAATTTCTGCATTATATTTCAACAAATATTTCTGTGATATCCATTGTGCACCGAAATTGAGCCATTTAACAAGATATTTAATGTTATTTTGCCTCTATTGTTCGGGTGCCTGGAATTCCCGGTACGAACAGGTTGTTTCCTCACTCAGCCGAGTGAAGTTTGCTGCTTAAAAGTTTTTACAATTAGTGAATTCATTCATCTGGATTATGAAGTTATTTTT